TTTTAGTTAACTAAAATGTTTTTGTTTTTTTTCAATTTCAGTTTTCGTTATTTAGTTAGTTTTAGTTAACTATAATAACCCTGGTCTGTGTTCATATGATTGTGTGGTTAATCACCCTGAAGTTATACAGCCTCTCTCTCATGGATGACTATGTGATGAGAACACAACAGCGGGTCAACAAAATCTATGATCAGTTTCTAACACTCAGCAGTAAAATAAAAATACTGGTTGTGTTTGGAATTATCACAGCAGATGACGGCATCAGGAAGTAACCTCAGACTTCAGAACCTTGGACTAATCGGCTTATCGATATTGTTGCACAAAAGTCAGATATGTTTGTTTGTGCGGGACTGCCTCATATCTGAAGCGTCAAATATAGTTACAACTCAATACTTGTTGCTGTCACACAACACAGTGACCCATCACCGCTTGTTTCTACATAAAAGCACCGATACTCACCTTCATGCCAAACGATTGCATTCTCATGGCAACTTCCTTTCCTATTCTTCCAAGCCCAACTATTCCAAGCACTTTGCCGAGCAGCTCTGTGCCCATGAACTGCAAAAGTAGAAACAAAGAACTGTAGAACAAAACGCAAAACTGTGCAGACCCAAGCGTCATGTTTAATTATCAACAACCCGATGAACAATGGAGGCAGTCATGCAACAGGAACAGGGGGAAGATGGGAATTTCTTACCTTTTTGCGATCCCACTTCCCTTGTTTCATTGACATTGCAGCTTGAGGCACATTTCTAAAAAATAAATAAATAAATAAATAAATAAATAAATAAATAAATAAATAAATAAATAAATAAATAAATAAATAAATAAATAAATAAAAAAGAGCAACATTTTAATACATATCAACGCTTTAGAGAGATATTTAATGAAGCACGGCTCATCTTGCCTCGAGAGACTCATCAGCAGGGCACACGTGAGCTCGGCCGCGCTGATCGTGTTGCCGCTTGGTGTGCTGGGTGAGAAAAGCAACAGATAACACGTTACGCGTCAGAAAAACAATGCAACAAACCTGAGTTTTAAACCCAAGACTTACTTCATGACAATAATGCCCTTTTTGGTGGCAGAATCCACATCCACATTGTCCACACCGGTTCCAGCTCGCCCGATGATTTTGAGGTTATCGGCAGCATTTATAACTTCAGCTGTCACCTTGGTGGCAGATCTAACAACAAGGCCATCGTAGTCCTAAAATGGAAAAAAGCAATGCATTTATATCAGCAGCTCATGGCTAGAAAAGTAGTTTTTTTTTAGTTTGATGAGGGTTTTGGGTCATTTGTACCATAACAGAGACAACATAAATAAATACTTTTTTTTCCACTCTTTTAGCTTCTTGAGCAACATTTTTAGCTTTGGCATCGAATGGCGCTGCGACACAAGCAAGAAGAGAAGAACTGTCAATAAAAGCAGCAGAAGAGCTGCTATGACAGCCTGGATGCCTGCGTGTTTTCACCCGTTTATAGGCCACCAACAAGAAAACAAAACCTTTTAAACAAAAGACAGTAACAAAAGCATCTGTGAGCTCACGTTATATCGTTCTTCTTTTTCCAAAAGGATCTCCATTTGAGGTTTTAAAAGATCTTGTGCCACAATCTATTGTTCTAGAAAATAATAGGAATAAAAGTGATTGGGTTTTTAATTTTGTCCCCCTGTGAAAATGAGTTTTAACCACCGAGTAAGAAAGTTATGTAACTTTAAAGAGACATTAGGTGATGTGGCTGAAACTCCTTTCTTTTGGCGAAGACGTTTTACTTTAACATATTGCTCAAAGTTTGTCTTGTCTTGTCTCATGTCGTGAGATGCGTGTCTTGTCACACCCTTAATCTGAAATAAATGTTAATCATTTTATCACAAATGAAAAAAAAAAAACCAGAGTTAATTTGTATTAAACAAATATAAACAGCTCAATATGTACCAGAGGGTTGGTGGGGTTTTAATGGTGTTCATGTGAGCCAGGGGCCCAGCAGAGGGTGAGTCCAGCCCTGAATTCACAGCTAAACAGTAGCAGCAGCATATTTCTTCAGTATATATATAATATACT